TGCGCGAACGCGGGCGCGTTGTCGTTCACGTCGGCCACCTCCACCGACACGCTGGCCGTGGCCGACAGCGGGGGCGAGCCCCCGTCGCGCGCGGTTACCACCACCTCATAGATGTCCATGTTCTCGCGGTCCAAGGCGCTGTCCAGCACTAAGGAATAGTAATTTTTAAAGGTGGAGACCAGTTTGAATGGACTATGTGGTATCAAGTTGCAGGTCACCTTCCCGTTGGCACCGGAGTCGCGATCTGAAACACTGATCAGGGCGATGACTGTGCCCTGTGGAGCATCTTCTAATACAGGTAATGATAATGATTTGATAACCAACTCAGGTATGTTGTCATTGGTGTCCAAAATTTCCACTAGAACCGTACAGTGACCTACCATTGGGGGATTTCCTTTATCTCTTGCTTCTACCTGGATTTCATATAACTTAGTTTCTTCGAAATCTATATTACCTTTCACACTTATATAACCACTCACCGGATTTAAGTGAAATTTCGACAAAGTATCTGCTGGCGTATCAGCATTAAAAGAATATACAATGTCCTTATTTGCTCCTTCATCCAAGTCAGAGGCGTTAACAACCACAACTATGGTACCGTTTGGTGCATTCTCGAATAATCTGACTTTGTAAACCGTCTTCTCAAATTCTGGAGCATTGTCATTCACATCTAGAACGGTGACTTTCAATTGAATAGTGCCAGTGAGCTCTGGCTTCCCACCATCAACTGCGGTTATTAGTAAGTGATGCTCTGGAATGTCCTCTCGATTTAAATTTTTTTTGAGCACCAGTCCAAGAGATTTAATCTCCTCATCACTTCTCTTAACATCCAAGGTAAAATAGTCGTTGGAGTTCAGATTGTATGTCGACAGTGAATTTGCTCCTATATCCGCATCTGATGCGCCCTCTAGCGGAATCCGAGAACCAGGCGGCCTGGATTCGGAAATAAACAATTTTTTCAATGTCATTGGAAATACCGGAGGGTTGTCGTTGATGTCCTTCACCTCCACCTCCACGTGGAAAACCTGCAGCGGCCTGTCCACGATCACCTCCAGGTGGAGGCTACACTCCGCGCTCCGCCCGCACAGCTCCTCCCGGTCGATCCGAGAATTCACAAACAAAATGCCATTCTGCAGATTTACCTCCAGAAGGTCGCCGCGGCCTTTGGACGCCATTCGGAACAGGCGGGGCACCAGGTCGGCCAGCTCCAGCCCCAGGTCCTGGGCGATGCGGCCCACGAAGGTGCCGTGTTTGGCCTCCTCGGAGACCGAGTAGTGGACCTGGCCGCTCCCCGCCTCACAGATTGCTAGGAGCAGAAGCCAGACTAATAGACGCTGCACTTGACCTTCTCTCCAGGAAAACACCATTGCGTAAGTCTTTCCCAAATTTTGAATCTCTCTTGCATTCATCCAAAATTTAAAAAAACATTTCAATTCCTTATTCTTCATTTTTTAAACAATCCTACCGTGCCAGTATTCAGAGACTGTGAGAAAAAGCAGCTTCTTAGTTCGTAATGAAAGCTAGCTTGCTTTTGTGGTGAAAGACCTTGTGGTGGACAGCGACATCATGTGGTTAAATGTGTGTTTTAAAAATATATCCTTTTTATTTCGTTTGAGTTCCTCAAAATTCTTTTGTTGCAATTTCCTTTGAGTACTACTCAAAAGTTTTTACATTTTATCAAAATATATCCTTAGTGCCTTTAAATTAATTCATCACTTTCCATTATCCCAGTCCATGACATACAGTAAAATAAAGTAAGACTGATTACTGTTACTACAGTAGTAGACATATATTGGGAATAGTTTCAATGAGACAAGTGCTGCTCTTTTGTTTTTACAGGTGCATCACACTAAGTTCTCACAATAACCTTGTGAGGTAGGGGTTAGTATGATTCATTTTTAACAAAAAAATAAAGTGTTTAAACTGATACAGGGCATGTAGCTTAAAAACAATATTAGCTTGTAGTGTTTCAGTGGGATCTCACTCTTCAAGACCCATAATTAACCACTGCTTTGAAGTCCATATTTTATACAAAAATCAGAGCATTGATATTTGTGACCTTCAAAGTACCAAGATATTAAAAATATATGTGTGTACATTCTATTGATGTGGTAACTGTTAGCTTACAAAACATACTTACTCATGTTTATTATGTAGTAGACTATAACTATATTCTTGTTAGTCATCAAAACTGTTATTTATAGAAATTATCAGTGAATAATGTCTATTTCCACTTATACTATTTTTAATCAATCAAGAAAAATGTAAATAAGGAATAATGTAACCCAACTAGAATATATACAAGAATGGATTTCTATTTAAGGAGATCTGGGCACACCTGGATATAGTTTCAAATATTTGCCATTTATCTACAGTAGAAACATAACAGACTTAAGTAGAACAATTCCATCTAATCATTCATACCTTCTGCACCTAAATTTCAGGAAGTTAGTGAGTAGCTATGATACTCTAAATAGGATGATTCCTCCAAAGAAAGAATTTCTTCCTCCACTGTCCAAGCCATTTTTTCCTGTAAAGCCTCAGATGAGTTTGTCTAATTCCCAAACTATATACACTCTGTGCATTTTGAGGCTTATAAATCTGAGGAATTAATATACTTTTGTAGCAACAGACATTCCTTAAAAGGAATTCAAGATTTCCCCTACCAAAAGCCTCAACCCCTTTAAAAGTAGATTGCAGATGGCCTACCTGTGAAATAGCTAAGGTTAAGCTCACTAAATAGCTATTTCTATGACTCATCAATATCGATGTAAATTTGGGGGAAAACATCAAATAACTAAGCACCAAATAAAATAAGACAGTTATAGACATGTATATTATCCCAAGACATCTTTCTTTGAAATACAAATTTTTCTTTCCAAGTGTAACATCTGTCAAGTTCAGGGTTTTATTTTCCCAATATAGGAGTTTCAAAAAAAAAAAAATGAAGCCATCCACTCCAGTCTTTACCTTTTGGAAAAGCTCCCACTTCACCAGAAATATGGAAGTTGTCAGGTGAAAATGAATGAGCTCTGGCAGTCATAGAAGAGGAATGTCAGGCTGTCAGTGTGGTGCCAGAGAAAAGAGGCCAGTCTGCACAGAGGGGGGTCTGTACACATTATCCCAGTGGAACTGATGCTGGGAGGATGACTGAGCAACTATATAGGATGAAGACTGTAGAGTATGCTCCACTTTTTTGCATGAAGAAGTTTCCTTACCTGGTCACCCAATAATGTGATTTACCTATATGCCAAGACTTTTTCATTAAAATTGAGAGAGTACACTTTGCATTCACATCATTATGCCGTAAAAAGACAAGGATTGGGCCCTCCCTGGTGGCACAGTGGGTTAAAGCACTGCACTAAGAAGCTAAAGCCACTTCTGCATGAGTTCCATCACCACCTGCCCCGGAGGAGATCCACATGGCACCACAGACCTCTCCTGACCCGCCCGCTGCTCCCTTCAGCAGTGAACTTTGCCAGTCTGCCTGTTCTGCTCCCCACTCTGTCTCTGGTGAATCCTCTCACCCTCCACATCTCTAGCCTGTACCCCAGTTCCATATGAATAAATAAATAAATCTTTAAAAAAAGACAAAGATTTTTGTAAGTATGAAATATTCATCCAAAACAATAGAGTATACAACTGAGTGATACCAAAGAAAAGCTTTTATTCTTGGGTGATGTCACCTATTGTTATATTCTAGTGAGATAAGTAATTTTGAAGGTACTGGCATTAAAACACCAATTTAGAGTATTTTCAAATATAAGGAAAAGAAAAACTAACTTATTGACATAAATGGATAAACAAATGAATTTTACATCCAAAGAACACTTTTTTAAAAAATCCAGATTACGGCCTCCCTTGTGGCGCGGCGGGTTAAAGCACAGCACTGAGAAGCTAAAGTCCCTTCCGCATGAGTTCAATTCCCGCCTGCACCGGAGGTGACCACATAGCCTGGCAGACCTCTCCTGACCCGCCCGCTGCTCCCCTCAGCAGTGTACTTCGTCGATCTGCCTGTTCTGTTCCCCACTCTGTCTCTGGTGAAGCC